TTCACTGCACTGGACCTACCGGGTGCCTACAACCTCATACGCATCAAGGAGGGAGACGAGTGGAAAACAGCCTTTCGTACCCGTCTAGGACACTATGAGTATCTCGTAATGCCCTTCGGCCTCACGAATGCGCCTGCCTCGTTCCAAAACATGATCAACGATGTGTTACGGAAGTACTTAGACGACTTTGTTATCGTCTATCTCGATGACATCCTGATCTACTCCAAAACCCTGGAGCAGCATCGGAAGCACGTCCATCAGGTGCTGCAAGCCCTACAGGACGCGAACCTATTGGTCAACCCGGACAAGAGTCAGTTCCACGTCCAGGAGGTAGTTTACCTCGGACACTTGATCAAACCGGGACAAGTCCAAATGGACCCGGCAAAACTAGAGGCAGTCAAGGACTGGCCTGTACCCACGAATGTCAAGGAAGTGCAATCCTTCCTAGGATTCGCCAACTACTACCGAAGATACCTGAAAGGTTACGGAGGAATGACAATCCCCCTAACCAACCTGACGAAAAAGAATACCAAGTTCGAATGGACACCAGAGTGCCAAGCAGCGTTTGACCAAGTCAAAAGAAACATGCTTGAGGAACCAGTCACACGAATGGCCGACCCCGATCGACCATACGAGCTAGAAACAGACGCATCCGACTACGCCCTCGGAGGACAACTCGGACAGCGCGACGACGACGGAAAACTCCATCCGGTAGCATATTTCTCGAAGAAACTACACGGACCAGAACTCAACTACCAAATCCATGACAAGGAACTCATGGCGATTATTGAGTGTTTCAAAGAATGGAGACCATACCTGAGTGGCACGCAACACCCGATCACGGTGTTCACCGACCACAAGAATCTGACGTACTTCACTACGTCAAAAGAACTCAACAAGAGACAAACACGATGGGCTGAATTTCTTTCAGAATTCAACTTCAAAATCGTATACCGCAAAGGATCTGAAAATGGCAGAGCGGACGCACTCAGCCGAAGGCCAGACCACGAACAAGAAATACCTGCAGAAACACAAGCCATCCTGCAGATGCGAACCGACGGGAGCATGGGAGGCGTTCCTCGACAGATCGCACTCACCAAACTCGTCACACCGCCAGACACGGCAAGAGAACAAGAAATCTACCAGCAGTACGACAACGATCCCTATGTCAAGGAAAAACCACCCAAGGGATCGCTGGTCAGATATAATGGACGATTGTACCTACCCCCAACCTTGAGGGAGAAATACGTGCGGGAAATACATGAGGCCAAAGCTCATGGGCACGAAGGAATCACACGGACCAAGGCAAGAGTCCGAGAAACGTACGACTTCCCCGGACTTGATGGGATAATCAGGAAGGTGCGGAAATCATGCCACGAATGCAACAGCAACAAGGCATCGAGACATCCACCTTACGGGGAACTGCAGCCTATCCCCATACCAGAACAACCCTGGTATTCAGTGGCTATGGACTTTATCGTCAAACTACCAAAGTCCAAAGACCCGACCACTGGAACGGAATACGACAGCATTTTGGTAATACCGGAGCGACTTACCAAGTATGCGTATTTCCTTCCGTTCAATGAGTCACACACAGCGGAACAACTTGCGTTCACGTTCCTACGAACAGTAGTGGCCAACCACGGGATGCCACACGAGATCGTCACGGATCGAGGACCGACGTACGCGTCAAAATTCTACACATCCTTGATGGGACAACTTGGAGCCAACAAAAAACTGTCTACGGCCTACCACCCACAAACCGATGGACAGACAGAACGTCTAAATCAGGTATTAGAAGCATATCTGCGCAACTACGTCAACTATGATCAAGACAATTGGGTAGAGCTGTTACCACTTGCACAGTTCGCATATAACAGCGCCCCTACCGAAACAACGAAGGTTTCGCCATTCTTTGCCAACTATGGCCGAAACCCGGAAGCATACCGACAACCACGAGACAAGGTCAACGCAGACTCCGCTATTCTCAAGGCAGAACACCTTAAGAAGTTGCACGCATCCTTAAAAACGGAACTCGAGTTCGTCCAAGAACGAGTCCGCCATTACTACAACAGAAAAAGGATGAAGGGACCATCCTTCTCGGAGGGAGACATGGTCTACCTACTACGGAAAAACATCACCACAAAACGACCTAGCGACAAATTGGATCATAAAAAACTAGGACCATTCAAGATTGTACAGAGAATTTCAACATCCAACTACAGGCTGTCATTACCAAAGACAATGCGAATTCACCCAATTTTTCACGTTTCCCTACTGGAACCAGCCCCTCCGGGAGTGCGGCTAAAGGAACCAGTAGAAGTGGAAGCAGAAGAAGAGGAATACGAAGTCGAGCAGATACTTGAGCAGAGGGTATCGGACGGGAAATATCTGGTAAAGTGGAAGGGCTATAACGCTACAGAAAACACCTGGGAACCTAAGGAACACTTGACGCATTGCCAGCGGAAGCTTCGGCAGTTCCACCAGCGAAGTCGAGACCACCCAACAGTTGCCCACTATCCAGACCGAAAGCGCTCCAGTCAACGGAAGAAGAAGGATCAGCAACCCCTAGAGCCCGAGCATCCGCAGTAACACGTTCATCCTCCTTCTCCAGTTCCTCCAAAGACTGCATACCACGGCGGAACAAGTCCGCCCCACGATCTTTCAGAAATTGCTCTTGCCTGCGCAAACGCGACAAACGGTTCAGTATCGTCTGCAGCTGGGTCTGCAGCACGAACATTTCCTCCTCAGCATCCGACTTCTCCTTGGAAACCTTCTGCTGCTCGGCCAGCACGCGGGACACTGGGAAGAGAGGTCAGGAAGGAAGCGAAGCGCGAGGATCGGGGGAAGAACCCACGAGAAGAAGCCACGCTGGTACCATCGCAAGAACGACCTCGTCGGACACAGTTACTGCAACGCGACTTGCCCTCCACCATGCGGCACACCAGGTTGTTTTTAAAGCAATAGGAACACGGCATCGCCTCCACCCCGTGAGCGTCGATGTACGCACTAAGTGCAATCCGTTCAGAAGTCTTTGTAGATTTCCGTTTCTCGACGCGACCTGAGGACATGTTGTCAGAAGGGCGCAGGAAGAATCGAAGGGAGAGTTGGGTACCTACGGAAGAAGTTTCAGTTCCAGACAAACGGGTCTTAAGAACGGCCTTGGGTCGTCGGGACGTCGACCTGGGAGGGGGACATCGTGTCACGAAACCAACCGCAGTTACCGCGGGGGCACCTCCTAAGGCGGTCAGAGAAGATAAGATAGGCAGAAAACGCACGGACCACCGGATCGCTTGGGACTCTAGTGATCCATCACCATGGATCACGGTGATCCCCTGTGAGGGATCGCAATGGATCACCATGAGCCATCGCGATCCATTGTCTATATATACGGACGTATGACTACCCTTAGATACCTACCCTAGATAGCTCTCCAGTATTCAAAGTATCTCATTCAATAAAGTACCTTTGAGTGAAGCTATCTTAGCTACGATCAACCACCAGTGCTCAGCAGCGCCCATCACTTACTGCTTACATAAACCCACACGCCTCCGATCCTACGAAGTAGTCTTACCTCTTGGGATCAAGGATCGTCACAGCAGGGTTGTGGATTAGTCTGAATTAGTTAGTCCTTGGCCTGACTAAGACTAACTAGGACCCACTTGTAGTTAGTCTTAGTTAGTCCTTAAAGTTAAGGACTAAAACTAGACTAAATTAAAAGGACTAAGACTAAACTAACTAAGGACTAAAACTAAATTAACCCTAACCCTAAAGTTAAAAAAGCCTAGAAAAGATTTTTAAAAAATCTATAGAAATTAATAATCTTTTTAAAAAGATTTAAAAAATATTATAAAAAAGTTAAAAAGATTAAAATAATAATAATAAATTATTTTTAAAAGATTAAAATATCTTTTAAAATATTCTTTAAAATACTCTTAAAAAAACTCTTTAAAATATTCTTAAAATATCCTTAAAATATTTTTAAAATATCTTTAAAAATATTTTAAAAATATTTTAAAAATATTTTAAAAATACTCTAAAAATATTCTATTTTTAAAGAATTTTTAAAGAATTTATTAAGATTTTTTATAAAATTAGGTTTAGTCCTTAGTTAGTCCTTAGTTAGTCTTAGTTAGTCCTAGTTAGTCAGCTAGTTGACTAAGACTAACTACAAAGCCCTTTAGTTAGTCCTAAGGGTTGACTAGGACTAAAGACCAGGACTAATTCAGACTAAGGACTAAAACTAACGGACTAAAGCCACAACCCTGCTTGCAGGAATCCTCGCTTAACAAGAGGTGACGGGCAGGGGCATGCCTGCATTCTCGATCTCTTCCAGGGGTCTTTTCTGACAAGAAACGTCCTTTACTTGTAAAAAAGAAAAGTGCCACAAATAATCGTACCATTTGTGCCGGCCGGAGTCGCAAAAAGGGATTGGCATGTTTTGGCCTCTTGGAGGAGCACTGGGTAGGATGCAGCACTAATGACAGAACGGGCTCAAATTTGATCCCAAAACAAATCAATAGTCTAACCTACTGTCCAATTTGATACAATTTGAAGCGAGGCCGTGTTCAAAGTCTCATCCGTTATGTGTTGATGAGGAGCCGCGCCTCAGCCGGGACCGGAACGGATCAACCGCTGATTGACGGGAAAACAGCACGTCATCCAGCCGCTTGGTCCGCTAAACGGCTCCACCAAAGCGCCGCCGTTTTGAACCTTGAAGCGTCTCTTTGCCCCGAACAGAGCCATCGACGGCCTCCCGGTAGGCTCGGACGGACTTTTTGCCGGGGCCAAGCTGGAGATGCGAGATGTTCCGGGCGGCCGACCAAGGCGACGCATCATTGATAGACAGTTCAAAATGGATGAATAAAAAGACACGAGAGTATTTCATGCATCGCCGCGTGACCCGGGCCTTCTCGCCTCCAAACACCCACCTGTGCTCCGTAACGACCAGCGATTCGGAACGGCGGTTCCCGTCCACCAGGGATAATACCCAAAAAAACATGCCTGCGCCGCCTCCGCAGCCCGGCGGCACGGGCTCGGCGCCGCCGTCCGTGACCTTCGCCAACCCCGTCATCCGGGGCTTCAACCCGGACCCGACCATCTGCGTCGTCCCGGCCGACGCGGACACCGGCCAGCCGGCGACCTACTTCCTCAGCACCTCGACCTTTGAGTTCTTCCCGGGCTGCGCCATCCACGCCTCGACCGACCTGCTCAACTGGCGGCTCATCGGCCACGCCCTGACGCGCCGCAGCCAGATCGACCTGCGCACCGTCGAGCCCGGCGCCGGCAGCTGGGCGAGCACGCTGCGCTACCGGCCGCGGGAGAAGAGGTGGTACCTCGCCAACGGCCTGTTTCATAGGTATCGGCCGGCGGTAGATGTGGGCGTTCCCCCCCCCCCCCCGTAACCCCCTCCGGAGGCAGCTTAGATGAGCTGGCCACCGGTCATGCAGTAAAATAGTTTTCATGGCACGGCGTCACTGACACGCAAAAAAACCCCGTAGGAGCGCATCTTCCCGCGCGGCTTCTACGTCTACACCGACAACATCTGGGACGACAACGCCTGGTCCGACCCGGTCTACTTTGACAACCCGGGCTTCGATCAAGATGTAAGCAAACCGTTAACTCCCTAACACCCCCAACGCACCCCCAAACACACACAAACACCTCACTCACTCTTGCCCCACCCTCCCAACAAACAACAGCTCTTCTGGGACGACGCCACCTCAAAAGTCTACCTCTCCACCACGATGCGCCTCGCCGCGCGGCCCGCCGGCTCGCGCCTCAAGGACTTCGCCATCCACATCTCCGAGGTCGACCTGCCCACGGGCCGGACCCTGACCCCGCCGGCGCCCATCCGGGCGTCCCCGCACGGCATCGCCGAGGGCTCGCACATCGTCCGCCGGGGCCGGTTCTACTACCTCTTCACGGCGGAGGGGGGCACCGAGGCGGGACACCAGGAGTGGGTGCTGCGCAGCGACCGGGGCCCTCTGGGGCCCTGGGAGGCGCGGGCGGGGACGGGGGCGGGGGCGGGGGGCCCGCTGTGGTACAACGGTCCTGGGGAGGAGGTGCAGCGCACCGGCCACGCGGACGTGTTCGAGGACGGCGGGGGCCGGTGGTGGGCCGTGCTGCTGGGCGTCAGGCCCGTGTGGGACGCTGCGCGGGGGAGGTTCCTCGAGCCTCAGCTCGGTGAGTTCTTTTTGGTTTTCGTGGGATGTGATGTGATGTGGGAAAGACTGACGCCCTCTCTCTCTCTCTCTCCGTCGTCAGGGCGAGAGACGTTCCTGGTCAAGGTGGACTGGGTAGACGACTGGCCCGTCTTCAACGAAGGCAAGAACATCACTCTCCAGACCCGCGGCAGGGACGCCGTCCAGGCGCAGAGGTATGCCAGGGAGGATGGCTTGGTCTGGGAGGCTGACCTGTCCAAGACTGAGCTCGAGCTGGGGTGGTATCAAAAGAGTGAGTCTCTCGTCAGAAAAGAAGAAGAAAAAAAGCTTGGGCTGGTGAGAGAGAACGAATGCTGAACTCCGCACGCACAATCGTCAGACACACCTATCAAGCAGACATACAGCCTCACGGAACGGCCCGGCCACCTCAGATTGTACGGCACATGTTTCGATCTGTCGAGCCCCGAGGCGCCAGCGATGCTGCTGCGGAAGCAGGCGTCTTACAGTGACGCGTTCCACGCCAGGATGCAGTTCAGCCCCAGCAAGGCCGGTTACGAGGCCGGTCTGGTGCTCTGGTGGAGCTGTTTCTCATATGCGGCCATTGGTATCACCAGAGTCGAGCTGCAGGATGGCAGCGAAGAACTCCAGGTTGTAGCCAGGCGGCCTACTGGCGTTGCAGGGAAGGTCGAGGTGAGTGTCCCCGCAGAAAGAGCCCGAATGATCCGAGTACTGAACACGCTTGCAGTCCTTCAAGCCCCTGTTGGGGTCTGACGGTTGTTCGAATCAGATCCTTCCAAGGAAGCAAGTCAGTCTCGCGGTAGAGTGCTTCGAAACTGGCTACAGGTTGTCGCTGCAGAGCGGGACGGCAGTCGCATCATTTGAGATACACGTCGAGGATCTGACGGTCATGCCGCCTGTGGGTGGTGCATTCACGGGAGTCATGTACGGCCTGTACGCTATGGGCAACGGCGAGCCGGTGCTGGATCCGGCCGACTTTATTGGCTTGAAAGTCACGGACCTCTCTGTTAAGCAGTAAAAGAGACCCCTTTGACGACATGTTATAGCCAGGGATCATGCCCAAGTTGGCGAAGTGGTCCCGGGACAACAGAGTACCTCTTGACCAGTGTATGGGCTACTGATCCGACAATTGGCTGTATGCAGCTGAAGATGGTCCAGACTGGTAGGCCATCGTTCCATAAGGAGGGATCCCGGAGCCGACGACAACTCCGGGTAGTGCTCCCTTCTCCCTCTAGCACCCGCGGCCCGCAGCCGACAGTCATCATATTCGGTATGCCAGAGACCATCCCGAACCTACAATAGCGTTGGTGCGTGGATGCAGAGTCCGATGCAGGTTTCCAAACTAGGCTCAGCAAAGTGCCAGTCTCGTTGGGCCGTCTCGGCTGCATTTCGCCAAAAGTGCATACATAGACTCCACGGGAAGTGCTGTGATGCGACGCGGCTTTGCGTAACTCGAGCCGGTTTACGGAGGGGGGAAGGTCCCCCACACCGGCATGCCACCTCGGCGTCGCATGTCCTCCATCCCAAGTGGCCGCGCAATCGGAGGAGCATAGAGGATAGCTGTAGATCTTTTTGGGGTCCATCTGAGCTCAGCTCTGTTTTAATTTCGAGATCTGACCTTGCCGATCGCTCTCAGCCCTGTCACTTTTCAAGCCCATCCGCTGCCTGGAACATTCGCCCCGGAGGCCTGGCCCAGACAGACACTTGCTCAACCTGTTGGCACTTTCGCACACAGGCGCAGATCATCCCGTGGCCGTTGTGCTATGTGACTTGATTTCCCCTTTTGCAGGGCCATGCAGTCCAGCAGGACGGCCCAATTGCTGGCCCGCATTGTGATCCATGTCGCGCATCCCATGCTACCCTCCGCACAACGGATCTGGAACCTGCCAAGACCCGGGAACAGCGCAGAGGCCGTGCCTGGAATCCCGGAAACAACGAGTCTAGAGCAAGGGGAGAGTAATTTGCGGTGAATTGCCGGTGAGTTCTTTCTCGTCTTTGCTGACAAACATCTCGAAGTTATATTGCCTAGTTGAAGTGCAGATATAGTCGGCGGGATCATCGTAAACTGTTAAGAGAGCCTTGCTCGTGTCGCTCATGTGGACAGGCGCATCTCTGCCTTCCCTTCACGAGGGAACTGGAGACGGCCTGACCTCCGCGATGCAAACCAGATGCCGTCCACCAATCTTTCGCCTCGCTCAGTATCTCTGGAAGGGGCAAACGAGGGCCCATACCGGGTCGGCTGGGAGTAACTGCTCAACGGCGGTGATCCGATTGTGTCTCTCGGAGAGTGAGAGAGTGCGAGTGGTGGAGTTGTGAGGTCCTTCGGATGTCCCAAATAGGCAATCCGGGCTGCTGGTCCGGAGCTCGAGAGGAGAAACGGGGACCCTGGACGGCGCTGCAACGTACAGCAAACCCCACCTGCCCACCCCCAGAAAATGGAGCCCAGCACTGCAAGGTTAGCGTTACATGGGGGGGAAGAGGGTGCGTCCACAGGCGGTTCCCCACCATAGCTACCGCCACACAACACGCTCGACTCCTCGACTGCGCTTTCACTCGTTTTCTGCTTCTTTCTTTCTAGTGGTCCAACAATGGGCTTTTTCAATGAAACAGAACGCCCTTGAGACGAGGTAGCATCCGATGCTGCAGCTAGGCATGTATGCTCTTCTTATTTCGTCTTGACCGGTGTCTATTTCCAGCCCTGGAGCCTCACCGGTCTCCATCCTGATAATGGTGCAGCTGGGAAAGCCCGCCAATGATGTGAGCAGGCCTTTCCCACTCACTAAGGTACCTAGGTAGTTAGTAGTTAGTTAGGTAGCTCCGAGGAGAGATCCGTGGGTCCCCTCTGGCACTCGCTTCTTAGCTACCTTAACCTCCCTCCCATGGCAGATGCGGCTCGGTAGTGCAGGATGCAATGATGGGATGGCCTGGGACCACGATCCCTCGTGGGCTCCTCTTTCCTGGCACATGGGACAGATAGACTACCTACCTACCTTGCTAGCTCTCACCAAAGTCTTGAGCCCGCCTCGGATCCCACACTATGCACTCATTGATGGCCCCCTTTGAGCTAATTGCCCAACAGAATATCCAGTCCAGGACTGCCTGCCTGCCTACTTGCCTACCTACATGTCGCGTAACTCCAAGAGCGGGGGCCAAGCTCCGGCGAGAACTGAGGGGTTGTGCCGGATCTACCAACTTCTTCTGGCCATGGATCTCATCAAATCTACTAAAGAGAAGTACCTACCTAGTAAGCCTTGCTATCGACGATCGTAGCTCAGATGGCGGGCCCAGCCAAGCCATTGATTCACTTTCCGTGGTGACACCCTGCCTTGGCCCCGTGTCTCGGATCGGTAGACTATTTGTAGGCCGGCATGCCCGCGCTTCTCTCGCTACCTCATACCTCACTCTCGACCACTCTGTCTGGCTATTGTGTCCTCTGTGTCTCCCTTGCTACCTCGTGATACCCACGGCGTGTTGTTCTTTCTAACATTGGTGCAATCTTCTCCTTTGAAAATCAAGTGAGCCCGAGTCGTACCACCCATCGACCTACTATCCAAGCCGGATTCCCGGTAATTAGCCATACTTGGACAGGCATGGCCTCACTCTACAAGAGCTCGCGCACAGCGCTGCCGAGTCTGTCGTCGTGCCTCAGGGCCTCGGCCTCGTCCTGCCGGACACGGGCTCGGCAGAGAATACCACAGCCGGCCCGCCCGTTCCACGTCACCAGCCTCCGCCGCACCGCAGATGACCAGTTCACGAGCAAGACGCGGCTGCCCGAGTTCAGCCTCAAGGACAAGGTCATCGTCGTCTCGGGCGGCGGCCGGGGCCTCGGGCTGGTCCAAGCCGAAGCCCTGCTCGAGGCCGGAGCCACCGGTATGTATATCACAACCGAGTCTCTCTCGCCGACCAAGCAGACAAGACTAAAGGAAGTTGGGACACACTGCAGTCCACGCCATCGACCGCCTGGAGGAGCCGGCCGACGACTTCGCCCGCGTCGCCCGCCGCGCCCGCGACTCGCTCGGCTCGAGCCTGACCTACCACCGCCTCGACGTGCGCGACTCGCCGGCGCTGCACGCCGCCGTGCGCGCCATCGCCGACCGCCGGGGGCGCATGGACGGGCTCATCGCCGCCGCGGGCATCCAGCAGGAGACGCCGGCGCTCGAGTACACGGCCGAGGACTGCGACCGCATGCTCGGCGTCAACGTCACGGGCGTCTTCATGACGGCCCAGGCCGTCGCGCAGCAGATGGTGCGCCTCGGGAACCCGGGCAGCATCGTGCTCATCGGCAGCATGAGCGGGACCGTCGCCAACAGGGGTCTGATCTGCCCGTAAGTCTTCCCTCTTTCGTATTGGCTTGCTTCTCTAGACAACACCGACCGCATGTCCCACCATTGCTAAACACGCGTTGCGCGCGCACACAACCCACAGAGCGTACAACGCCTCCAAGGCCGCCGTCCTGCAGCTCGGCCGCAACCTCGCCTCCGAGTGGGGCGAGCACAACATCCGCGTCAACACCATCTCGCCGGGCTACATCGTCACCGCCATGACCGCCAGCCTCTTCGACCGCTTCCCCGAGCGCCGCACCACCTGGCCCCAGGCCAACATGCTCAACCGCCTCAGCTACCCCGAGGAGTACCGCGGCGCCGCCGTCTTCCTCCTCAGCGACGCCAGCAGCTTCATGACGGGCGCCGACCTGAGGATCGACGGCGGCCACTGTGCGTGGTAGTAAAGAGTTTGAGTTTGAGTTATGTGGTGTGAGAGCGGAGAGCGTTTGTAGGTGTCGAGTTCCCCCCTTAGGGACTCCTACAATGGGGCAGCCGAGCTGGCTGAGGGAAAAGAATTAATGGGAACATGCCACACGCAATATCTAGATTGTCCATACACCGCGAGAAGCTCTTCTCATGTTCAGACGATGTTATACAGAATATTTGTGTGGGGTATCAAAATCTCTAGTTTAGTAGTTAATACACGACCCGATCAAGAAGACGTCGTCTCACTCGATAGATAGTCCTCAGCAGTGCCCCCTTTTCTTGCCATCAAATCCATCCCGACACTCACATCAGCCTCCACCTCACAGAACTTCAACCCTCCCCCTGGGGCCCAACCGCCCGAGCAGACCCTTCTTGATCCCCAGCCTCTCCTCGACAGCCGCGTCGCTGTGCCCTTTACTCCTCAGCACCAGCGCGTCCCGGATGACCCCCACGTCCAGGAACTCTCGCCCCTGCCCCCGTCCCAGGCCCCGAAACTCGTCGTCCGCCCGCTCCTGGAGCCGCCGCCGCGCCTCCAGCACCGTCAGTGTAGCGTTGCTGCCCGCCGGCGCCGCCGCGGGGAACGTCGGTGCGCTCGCCGCCTGTTGTTGCTGCTGCTGCTGCTGGTACTGGTGCGCCGAGGCGCCGGCCGTGCTGCTGGGGCTGTACGTCGGGTTCGGCTGCGCGACGCCCATCTGCCGCAGGCGCGACGAGAAGGCGGCCGACTGGTTGAAGTCGAGGTCCGGGTCTGCACCGTCGGCGCGGATGGCTAACATGATTGTCCGTCAGCTTGCCTTGCAGCTTCCCCAACCCCCCCCCCTCGTTTTGTTTTCTTTGCGGAGTTGAGGCTCAAAACGTACCTTCGTCCTTCGAGTAGGAGGCCTGCGCCGAACCAGCCCGCGGTCGAGCCCCGGCGCCGCCACCGGCGGAGTGCGAAGGCGCCGCGGAGGAGGGCGACACGTGCGGCTGTGACGACGGCGGCGGCCGTTGCTGCTGCTGCTGTGCTCGGGGCGGGATGGCACCGCCGGGGGCACGAGAAGGGAACTTGCGAGCGGGACCGGCGCCTCGCTGGGCGGTCCTCGAGGCTGCGGAGCCCATCGTGAGTGTGCCTGTCTGTCAATATATGCTCCGCCTAGGTTACAGTAACGGAGGTGTTGTGGCAGCACAGAATTCGAATTGATCGGCTTTGTGTTGCGCATATAGAAGCGTGGTTGTGGTTTACAGGATCTGGGTGCTATCTAGAAATTATTTTGGAAACTAAGGTAACTTCCAAGTTAAGGAAAGCGGGTGCTGGTCCGTGGCGTCATCGCCTGTAATACAGCAATTGTGAGTGCTGCCATTCGGCCATTACAGTGGAGCTTCGTGGATCGTGGACACTGGACAGCAATTCGGACATCAAAGCTTCATTTAGAGCTGGAGTACTTGTAGTAATTCGCAGGAAAATCGACGACGGATTGGCTTCTAATTTCAAGCAGACCTCACAAGTGTTATTCGAGCAGGAGGCCCAATTGTTACATCAAAGTCAATTCCCGTAGAGACTCCAGCCAACGTATTCGAAACCAACTCCTCAAAATAACAATGAAAAACTCGACCAGAAAAGGACACAAGATAACATGTCTACCAAACATAGCCCTCAACACCTATTACCTATTGAAAACAGGATCTCTCCACAAGACAGGTCGGGCTGATACCCAGCCGACTCAAGCCGACAGCGGCCTACGCCTCTTGGGGGTCCACCTGTCCAACTCGTCTCCGTCCCTCTTCCTCTTTCCTCCCTGCCCACCTCCTCCCACCTCCTTGCCCTTGCCCGGGCTGCCCGTGCCGAACGGCAAGAACCTAGCCAGCCTCTCTATGAAACCCGGGCTCGCTTCCTGTCCGCGCTCGAGTAGACCCAACGCTGTGACCAGATAAAACGTTAGCTCTTCATCGCTCTTGTCGCCCCCCTGACGGGTCCTCATGCCAGGGCATAAATCAACTGAAAAGTGTAAAAGAAACATACCTTGCGCGGCCCGGGTAGTCACGCCATCCACGTACGCCTTCTTCTGCCGCGGCGTGTCCCCCTCGACAAAGTCCACGGGGCCCCTGTACGTCTCGATCCTCTTCTCGCCGAACGGCACGGCCTTCTCCACGAGCCACCGCGTCGGCGTGGGATCCTCGACGCAGGGATCCCACGTCTGCGCCGGGTCGTGCACGTACTCGCCCTCGCGGACCCGCCGCGCCTGCTCGGGCGCCTGCACCTCGAGCGGCCACCGGTCGAGGCTGAAGAACCGCGGCGCCGTGCCGCGCACCTCGGGCTGGCCCCAGTCCCAGATGGTCTCGCGCTTGAGCACCCGCTTCATCTTGCCCGTCTGCTCGTCCCGGTACGTGCTCTCGAAAGCGGGGTACAGGGCCGGCAGGTTGAGGTGGGACTCGTCCTGGATGAGGTCGCGGACCTCGAGCAGCGCCTCGCGCTCGCTCATCCCCCTCGTCGAGGCGCCAGAGATGGCTCTGAGGAGTGTCCTCGCCCGGGGCGGCGCTCCGTCGGGAGCGGAACGGGTCAGGGCCTTGTAGTTCTCGAGGAGCACCTGCCTAGACTTCTCGATCCTGCCGGGGTCGATCCTCGGGCTGGACTCCCAGAGCTCCTTGGATTGCGTCTCGAGGAAGTGTTTCGTATAGCCGACGCGGAGCGCGAGGATGCAAAACCAGCCCTCGATCGCGGACGGGCCTTTCCCCGGCGGGGTCCACGGCCGGTTGCTCCAGACGGTTTCCTCCCAGCTGTCAACGTCTAGATCTCGACGGGGCGCGCCGACAGCATCGTCCGGGTGCAAGTGGCCGTCCTTAGTGGGCCTGCGCGTGAAACCTGGAAGTTCGACCCCCCAGCGAATCTGGTGCTCGGGGTGGATATCGAGCTTCGGTCGCAGGACGAAACCCAACTCCTCGTTGTCAGCCTGCCAGCTATATCATCGCCCGCCGTCAGTCAACAAAGTCTACACATATCACGTCAAGACTCGACGCCCGAAGATTGTCTCTCACTTACCGGCATCTACCGTACTTGCTAAGGCGCTTGATCCAGCACGCGGCATCAAATTCTGAAAACTTGGCCTTGCTATTCGTCGGGTGGTCAGCACCTCGGTGCATCACCTCCAGCAGCTCGCTCACAGACACTTTGGTCTCGAGGTCCGGGAACAGCGCCTCCTCGCTGATGTCGTCCATGAGCCGCTGCAGCCTCTCCGCAAACACGAGGAACAGCGTCTTTTCTTGCCGCGGGAGGTCGATCAGCAGCTCCGCGTTGCACGACTTTGTCACCAGCCACGTGAACCAGTCGAGCTCCGTCGGAGTGATGAGTTTGATATCAATCTCGTCTCCAAACATCTTGTAATCATAGTACGGCCTCAAACTCTTGCGCAAATCCCACTTATCATCTTCGCGCCAAACCCTTTCCAAGAAGGAGGTCATGAGTCCGAGCAAGGGCCTCGGGGCAATCTTGCTGGCGCGTTTGAACTCGGCAATGGCCGTGCTCGTAGCCTTCCAGAGGTTCTTCGCCTTGAGCAGATGGGGCTCGATCGGCGGGCGAAAGTACGCGCCCGGCAGCTTCGGGATCGGCACCCAGTCCTTGTTTTTTCTGTGGTCGTACTCGGATTTCTGGCGGGCTCGCTCCATCCATTCGTCGCGAGACAGGGCGCGTCGGTTCATTTCCAGGCTGTAGATCTGCGGGTGCTGCCGCTGCCCTGCTGGCAGCTGCTCCGGGCTTATCGGCCCCGGGCGTATGAACAGCCCCAGCGCCTGTCTCGTCGCCTCTTGGAGCTCCCTGGCCGTTACGGGCAGGGGGATCTGGCGGTAGGGGGACCGGAAGACGGCATGCTCTCGGTTGTCAAAGTGCCGGAGGGCCTGCTGGAATCCGGCGCGGGTGGCGCCATGCTCGCGAGCGTAGCTCACGGCGTCCTCTCCGAGTTGTGTGCCGTCGGGCAGCGTCCTCGGCAGGTCTCGCCCGACCAGGCCAGTGCGCCTGTCGAGGTTGGACCTGTACGCTTCGTCGGAGATGACATGCAGATTGCTCGGCGATCTGGATTCGGCACGCCGGTCGGCGGCTCTGTCGCTGGCCAACGCCTGAGCATACCTCTCGGAGTAGAGGTAGTGCTTGGACATGCTGTAGACGTTGGCAGCAGGCCTGGATAGCTTGAACGGAGCTTTGACCTCGACCTTGTCCGCCCCGAAGGGCGCGGGGTAGCCGCCTCTGGCGCGCAGTCTTCGACGGAACTTGGGGAGATCTCGCAGGTTTGCCGGGAAGCCGTTCATCACGCGATTGCCTTTCTTCGGTCTAGGAGTGAAACCGCGAACGCCGAGGCGCGCAAGCGCAGCCCGCGCCTTCGCGCCCGCAGGCGGAGATTCGTCGGAGGAGTGTGCTGAATCAAAATCCTGCATCTCCTCGTCCTCTTCCTCCTCGTCCTCTTCCTCCTCGTCCTCTCCAGCCTCGTCCCCTCCCTCCTCTTCGATCTGCTCGACTTCAGCTCCTCCGGACCTTTCATCAACTACAGCTTCCTCCGCTGCATGCTGTTTGAGGAGGTCTTCTTGCAAGTTCTCTTCGGTCAAGTCAATGGTGTCCGGTACAGGACCCACTCCGAGGCCGTCCCCGGGCTGCCCCTGCTCCACCTCCTCCGCCGGACCCTTCTCCCATAGGTCGGGGTCATACTCCTCCCACTCCTCTTCTTCCTCCCCTTCTTCCTCCTCCTCTTCCTCTTCTTCCGTCGCCCCCTCGCCCCGCTCCCGGAGCCATATGCCATACGCCTCCACCCCTTTCCTGTTAAATTGGCTTCTTAGCAAGGACAGTTGAATGACGGGCAAGGGGCATTGGAACGTAGACTCATCCCTCCCGACACATACCTTATACCATCAATGGTAATGGGTACGTCGCCCTTACCACCCCAAGGCCAGTAACCAGAGTTGAGCCACTTATCAGCGTCGACCACATTTTGGGCCAACTCATCGATATTCCAATCTCCAAGCAAAGGCTGGACTCGTTCCCAAAATTCGGACTGGTCACTCCTATGATAGTGGAGGACCAGGAGCGCGTCAGCAAGGCTGGTATACAGTACGTTTTCAATAGTGGAGGTTTTGACATATCGACCGAGTTCACTCAGCACGATCTCGTCACATCCAGGCAAATCCAGCTGTTGCCGCAGATCGAAAACGAAATTGACTAAGACGTGATGCATCCCTTTGTCAGTTCTCTCTCCATTCATCCAGACCTCCCATCTCACTTACGGTCAATAGGTCGGACAGCCATCGTGCACGTTTGGATCTCGCAGGACCCGGAACCGCGGCTAACAGGTTGCGAACAGCCCGGTGCAAAGCTCCCTTGCGGATTCTGGTTGGAATGCTCTGAGTGTGAAGACCTCGGATGCTACTGGTTGGGACAAACGATGCTCTGGAGCTTCGCTCGACAAGGGAGAGTTGAGGAATGCGCTCAGTGCCGCGGAGGATGGGCGGATCAAGTTGAAGGCAAGGGGGCACAAGGAAGAAGATTGCAATTCTCGTCCTTGAGGAATGTGGCCATAGTTTATCTCAAGCGCGCAACAATGGGCGCCGGCGGCTTGCTGAGGAATGCATCCAGATCTGTCGCGCGGTAAGGAACAGGGGCACCAAAGACAAGGAGCATTCCTGAGGGCGGACAGCCCGATGAGACACCAAGCCTAGCAAGAGCACAAAGAAGGATCAGCCAGAGAGTGCCTGAATGCATGATGGTTAAGGTCCAAGCTGAAAGTCCGCTTTGTCTTTCGACATTGCAGCTGAGGCCGTATCCGTTTGCAGCTTACAAGTCGCTGATGTGTTCATACGGACAAAGGAGTCTGTTGTGGAGTTTGCATGTAGTCCAGAAGACGGAAGTCGGAGAGAATAATACGAGTTCTTTGTGGTCCATAGACAAGCGGAAGCAGCGGTATCAATGGCACCACCAAAGCACGGAAGCCCCTAGGTACTTAGGAAACCAGCAGGAGTTTGCACACTCACTTGAGCACAACGTTCCCACTTCCTTGCAAACCTCCTGCGTAGCTGGCTTGGCCGTGCAGACACATGGTGGCTCACGAGAGAGGAGGCGTTGCCAGTCCAGCAAAGAAGCGCACCTAAGCTTCATGATGAGAGCCAATAGGGGTGGATACATCGGACGACGAGGACGTCTAGGAAAAAGCCCGCATCGAACGAGCGAGCGCGCGGCGATCGTCCCTAGCCCAGTGCCCCCTCTCTCCACACGGGGGGGAAGCCCCGGCCACAGCAGGATCGACGACACGACGACGCCGCCCGGAAGTGTGGCACATTCCAACGGCAGCGCCGGCGCGGAGAGCGGGCTGAGACACTTGCCTCCGCCGTACGATCTGCAGGCTGGCGGGTTCCGAACGCGGTTCAATGTTCTGGAAACTCTTGGCCCTAAGTTCCGCCCAAGAAAGCTTACCTAGTCCCGGTCCGGTAGCCTCGAGGGGAAATGAGAAGCAACGACCCGGCAATGCGCGCCATCGCTTTCCTTTCGCGGACGTGGAAGACAGCCACGAAACCGTTGCTGGGTGGGTGGCGGCAGCCTCGCTCGTCAGTCAACGGCTGGGTTTGCTGTGCCATGACATGAGGTAGGTAGCTAGTCCCATTCGTTGGACAAAGGCATGATGATGCTTGCAACAAAGCAGCCTTGGAAGCAATGGATGACCCCTGCCTGATCGCTTCCGGGCAAACGATTGTATGATTTCAGACCTATATTGTAAGCTTGTATGACTGGGTCGTGCAAATGAATGCATGCGGCCAAGGGGAACAAAGAAAAGGTCTGTAGGGTCGCTGCATTACCCGGAAAGGGGGGCCTGACTTCTTCCCTCGTGCAGCCAAGACCCATAGCAGATCATAATGCAGGCGATAGTCGCTTCGCTGGCAATCTTGATGAAATGGAGATTCTTCAACAAGGGAATAAAGGAGGAAGGGCGCCCTTTGACGGGGTGACTGGGTCTCGCACACGCGCTGTAGACTGTGGAATGGCTCTGGTAATTTCAGCGCAGGGAGGGTTGGCTCGAATTCCAGCAGCTCCTTTGTGACTCTGCGGCAGCTGAACGAATGGAGTTTTGTATCCACGAGTGGGCCTCCAGACGACTCACTTTCCTAATCCGGCTAATTAATTACACTACAACTCTCCTGAGCAGGACCGCACCGGCACGGCAAGTACGAGGCAGGTAGGCACAGGACGTTTGCAGTCAAGGCAAACTGGACAAATCACCGAGAGAGAGACATAGAGAGACAGTAGCAGACGAGAGACAGCAGCAAAGTTTGGTTTGTCAGGATCATGACAATTTTACTCTTTTTATTGAGTTTTTTTGTGCAGCTAACTAAAAAGTTGGGGGAACTGCTGTGTATCTTGAGCAATGTACGTCCATTTCTGGAAACAGAATATGTACCAAGGGGCCAGCAAAAAGGTCCGGAATCCCAGAGTGCCTTTGTTGCGCCACCCAGCAGAGGTCGGGCTGCCCCTCGGTGCCCGTCCCCGCAATCCTCAAGCCGCAGTATCGAAAGAATGATCGAGCACTGGAAAAGTGTGTCCGTGTGTGTGTGTGTTTGTGCGTTGTATTCAAGTGTCTCTCGGCCAGGCGAGGACGTCCGGCGGCAATTCCTTCGCGGTACCCTCCCCTCCTTCTCACCAACATGTTCCTGAGTTCCAATGATGGATGGGCCAATCTTGTTTTCATCCCCTCTGTCGCGCTTCTCTTTTTCTTCTTGTTGCTCCTGCTCCGAGCTTCCTGCAATCACACGGGTCTCCTGATCAATCCCCTGCCGCCCCTGGTTTCGGTATCAAAAAGGAATTTGCCTCGGGGGGAATCAAAGCGGCCTGATGTAGTGTTTTTTTTTTGGTCGTCGTCGTCCAACGTGAATATCGTCAAGATGATTGATGTGTGTGTATGACGCAAAGGTATGACGGTCCGTGAATCTTTTTTGGTGTGGCCCAGGAAAACAATAAAATTCAAGGGAATAAGTAAATAAAAGAGCAAAGTGTAAATCGCATAAATCAAATCGCTAATGCCATGACGCTGATGTTCCGTATCAAAATCCTGTATGCCAGATGCGAGCAATCTTTTTTCTTCCAATGGTACACTTGATATGTCGTAAAAGAGATCGGGTGAGGGAGAGTAGCTGCAGAGGAACCATCGTCCCAGGATCATCCGGCTGGCCCGTCAGCCAGCTCGGTGTGATCCAAATGTCGAGTAGTAAAATGACAACGGTCACGCCGCAAAGTACGCTGCGTACTGGGGGACCTGTTGTTGTTGTTGTTGTTGAACTTGGTAGCTTGAGGGATGACCAGGTTGCGGCGTGGGCGTCACAGGGCAACGAGGCGGCATCTGGTAAGCGTCCTTGCCAGCAGGGTTGGGACCGAAGCAGCCTCCGTCGGGTGTGATGGGAGGCGTCATGTAGCCGTCGGCGACACCGGGAACAGCACCCATGCCCTTCTGGGGCGTGCTGTAGATGTTGGCGTGGTGTGGAGCCAGAGTGGCCTCGGTCGGGGGCGTGGGCGGGTTGGCACGGCGGTTGATGGCAGCATGCTGGGCCAGGAAGTCGGTGAGCTTGGCGGCAACACGAGACAGGTGCGCCGACGAGTACTTGCGGGACAGGGTGACGGAAGGGTGGTGCAGGTTCTGCGAGAGGGACAGCAGGGTGACGTTGTCGCTGTGGTCCCACTCGCCGTCGTTGTTCTCGGGCTTGCCGCAGATGGCACGGGCGAGGGCCAGCGACGACCTGGCCATGGTGGAGGGCTTGGTCGACACAAAGTCTCGGTGGTAGAGGGCGATCTCGCTGATGTAGGCAGCCATGTGCTCGACCTCCATGCTGTCTCGCTCCTCCGCGACGATGAGCTGGGCAAAGAAGTCAACAGTGGGGTGGCCAATGTTCCACTCCAGAGTGTTGAGGACATGCATCTCCATCTGAGTGAACATGCCGGCATCGTACAGGCCGCAGCACATGTTGTTGAGCTCGTTGATCTGGGGCACCCGGTCCTTCTTGTCACCGTACTTGGCCGCGATGAGCAGAGCCGCGCAACCGACGAGTTGGTAGTGCTGCTTGTAGACAACCCGCTTAGAGCAGTACCTGTCAAGCAGGTTCACTGTGAGGAAAAGGGTCTCGGGAAGAAGGGCGAAAGCGGCGTGAGCCTCAATGATAAAGTCAATCAGGTAAGGCCGCATAAACCATTGGATCTCGCGCTGCATGTCAATGAGGTTGACGTCAGGAAGCGTCTCGTCCTGTTCGAGTTAGCAAAGGTGGACCCTTTCGACAATGCAGACCTCGAGTCATCATTACCTCCATGTGCCTCACGTGCTGCATGATGTCCTCCATGTACTCGTCACTGGCTAACCGCGAGAGCTCGTTGGCAATCATCTCTTGCCTCTGGCGGGCCAGGAGCCTGGCGTTTTCCCTCGAGTGCATGCGGGGCCGTGTGGGCTCCTCGTGCTCGACGAAGAAGGCGTTATCTGAGTCGCACTGCATAGCGAAGGCCATCTTGAACTGTGGTGTACAAAGGGTCTGGTCGAAACTGGTCGAATTTGGTGTGTACTCCGTGTCTGGCCGGACGAAGAGTTGAACAAGGTCCGTGTTGAAGGAATGGCGATCAAGTTCCCCAGGAAGACTTGATGTTCGGAAGACCGTAAAAGAAAGGTCCTCAAGGAGTGTGGTTGTATTAAGGTGCCGATGATTGAACCCAAAGGAGTGATGTTCGAACCAAAGGACTTGTGAGGTTGTCGTGTGAAGACTATTAGAGTTGAGAATTAAGGAGTGTGTTGAATATGAATTAAATTAAAGAATGACAGTGGCTGGATGCCGAAGGAACGAGCCGTAAGCCTTGAAATGTTGGAACAGATAGGACGAAGTGGCCGGGGAACGGCAGCGTTTAATAGGACTATCGTCTATCGAGTCTCTAGACGCGGGTAGATGATCAGCACTACGAAGCTCTCCATAGCAGTGGGCAGAGGGCGTCTGCAAGCCAGCCGAGTCAGGGCCGTGTCGTAGGGCGCTGCCGCTGAGCCAGACTCCACCAGGCAAGCCAAGGGGGGGTGGGCGAGAGCTGGTGAAGCTGCACTCTTGATTCGGCCGGGTGTCGTGTGGAGGTGGAATCCAGGCACGACAGCCCAAGCTCCGAAGATCCACGCTCGCGGTATCGATGCACGATGGGGTCACGTCGTCAATGGCGTCCGGGCCATAGCAGCGACTCGGGCGTGGCACAAGCGCTAGACGAATAGGAGGGGAGGGGCGAGGGGAACGGGAATGGGAATGGGAGGTGGTCCAAGGGCAGAGAGGAAGACAGAGCAGAGCAGGGAGGAGAAGCTTACCGCCACGGTGCGTGCGTGAGAATGGGCGAGACAGGTGAAATGACCCGATTCCAGAGGCCGGGTGGGAGCTACGAGTTAACGTGTCCCACTGAATAGAGCCTCGAGGGTGGTCGACTTGACAAGCGCGATTGCGGAGAATGCCCGTCGGCATGCAACTGTTAAGGGAGGGTGACACGATTTAGCACCCAAGCCTCGTCGAGATTTCGAATTCCTGCCGTAGTGGTGCGCGTGCGGAGAGGGAGCCCCGAGCGAGCCAGGGAGAGGAAAGGGATAGGGAAAAAAGTGCCTCGACATACCTCACGCTCAACGCCTCACAAAGAAGGTGAAAGCTCCACACTGATCGAAATCATGTAGAGCAGATTTTGGTCGTTCCGTCAAACCGAAACTGTGTCTTCTCAAACAGAAGATGGGGGGAAAGTCCGTGTGATCTGGCCCAGGTGTATTTGGGGGGATTCTGCTGCCAGCACTGCGAATGCAGAGGATATCCAGAAACGCTACTCTTGTCCTCTCCTTTCTCGCTACGCGCAAATTCGACTCCCTTCTAGTTCCCTGAGCTCTTTCCAATGGATTCCCAAAGTGAGCCCCTCTTTGTCGAGATAGTACGCAGTACAGGTCCCAATCTCGGAGAGGTATGTGAGGTCGAGGAATGTGGAATGTCGAGAGCGGAACGAAGGGATGGGAGCGAGCGGGTGGGGAAACTGGAAAGAATTCCAATGGTCGAGGACGCCAGAGCCTGGATGGAGGGAGGAGGGATAGTAGCCGTTGAAGAAAGCTTGATAAAGGAGGTGAGGTGCACTTTCGAGAGAATTGATCAATCGAAAGGAATCTCAGATCTCCTAGATATCTGGCGTTCCCTTTGGCTTTAACCTGCCTATTTGGACTCCTGAACCTCTCCTGACTGGGATTCGAGGGCGAGCACTTGGGGGGGGAATTATTATCGAGCGGGCCCAGGTGGACTTCTCTCCTCCTTCCCTCCTTTTCTCGAACCTAAGAGAAAGGGAGTTGGCGGTGTTGGAAGGAATGGATAGGGAGAGAGAATGAATGGATGCGGATGGAGGAAGAGAGAGAGGTAAGAGAAAGGGGAGGAGATGGTATTTGTTGGAGTTGGAGGTCGAGAGAGAAGAGTGCAAGGGATTGGCAGAGAAGAGACGGGACCTTGTTCCTTGCTCGCTCTGGTACCCTCGTACTGCTCTCCTCTCAAACTGGCACTGGGCGGGCGGCACTGCTGCTAGTTACAGGTAGTAACTCGCAGCGGTCCGGGGGGTGTGGTGTGGGTGTGGGTGTGGGCGTGAGGTACCTCTACGGTCTACCTCCGTCCTGCGTCTTGTCTCTCCAAACCTCACACCTCTCCTCTCACACCTTCACACCCAAAGCCACCACCCCTCAGGAAGTACGAAATAAGGTAGGCTAGGTATCATCCCCAAAGAGAAATCCCAGTCGATCCAAGCAACCAGGCACTCAAGAAGCTCTGGTAGCTTTCAGGAGGACGTGCCGATAATCTGCATACTTGTAAACCCGACGAGCATGTTCCCTGGTTGGATGCCCTTCGCCCAGTCTCTCTTCCCCCCCTCTCTCTCTCTCTCTAGGTATCTCTGTCATTTTGACATCTCGCTACTTGATGCTTGCCTGCTTGCTTGCTTGCTTCTTCCCTTCTCGTTTGGCCTTATCCACCTCAGTACTCTCGCTTTTACCCACTCCCAATGTGGGCGTTTGCAAGGAAGATACAGTAGGTGCTCCATTGTGCAAAAAAGCAAGGTCTGAGTGGCAGAGACCCGGCCGTGCCAGCCAAGCAGAGCGCAGGACCGTCATCCACTTGCAGGCCCCAGCCCAGTCGTGCTCCGTCCACCACCAGCCAGCTTCCACACACCAAGACGGACAGGAACAAACATGTCCACCCACACGCATGCCACTACCCAATACACGCCCCCCCCCCGGTCAGGTCCAAGCCAGCCGCTGTGGGTGGTGGTGCGGTGGTGTGTGGGATTACCTACAATGGTTGGATCAGATCGGTATGGGTACCTGATTTTTCGGTTTGTCCTTTTGGCCTCGCTGCTAAAATGACACGCGTGGATCTGGCGTCTCTGGGTCCTGTCTATCGTTCTCAATTTTTGTGCCTCGCTCTGATTGCTCCAGGTATGACATACATGGGCAATCTTGCTTAGATTGGTAGCAGGCAGGTGTCCGGTCCGCTTGCTCGTCGTTCCTGGATCCGGGCCGCAAGCTGGCAGCAGCCCGAGGGTCCTCCGACCTATTCATCTACGGTGTACTGTTTTGCATGCTACCTATGCCATCCGTTCATCATCTGTCTATGGATATACCTACAATGGGTGCGTGGGTAGTGGCAACAGCACCGGGTTAGAAGAGTGTGGAGGTGTTGCTCTCGGCTGGGAAATTCAGGCCGGCTGTACTCTGGAGGAGCACGTCGGAGGAGGGCAAGGATCTACCGCTGCTTGGCTTACTGGGTACGGGGCCCTGGTCACGACCGTGAGACGAGTCCATCCAGTCACTGGCAGCGAATCCGGCACTGTCGCTGCAGGCAAGGAGAAAAGAGCGCCCAAAAAGAAAGATTGAGAGACACGGTACCAAAGTAAGAAAACGAACAAAGCGCAGCGACCCCGGGGTTGGATTTCGACATGGCCCCCCATCCAGATTGATGGTTTGAGGTTACAGCATGTGCCGACTGATCACGAAATGCTTTGCAAAACATGCCACGGTGTGCGCGTCTTTTGGTTTGTGTTTGTTGCTTGGCCCTGTCTCCAATTGCAACTCTGACCTGTTTGGTGTGCTTGTGCTTTGTGATGATCCTACTCAGCTTACCTGACCGCACGGCACGGTCCAGATCCTAGACATCCGGCGGGCAACAGTCGCCGGAAGGATGAGGTTTCGGCGACACTCTCTAGATCTACAACCCTTGGCGGCCGTTGAGTGGCTGTCCAGGTTTCCTTTCCAGATGGGCCGGTGAATCGCAGGCCATTGCGTTTCAAGATGCCAATGGCTATCTGTCGACAGAAGGCCCGGCATGGCTTGTTTATTGTGACAACCAATGGGTCGAGCGACCCAAGGCCTGTCCAGAGTGTATACAGAGGCCCATTGTGATGGCCTAGCACTCAATTTTATACAATGCAGGTGGTGTGCATCGATGCTTGCACGCACAATTGTACAGTTGTTCGAGAACATCAAATCTGTGCGCCCTTGGTGGGTGCAGGATTACAGTGCACGGCCAGTGCGCCATAAGGCCAGCCAGTATCCATATTGATGCTTCTGTGCAGCGAGTGAGTGGCCGAGCATCATTATCCTTAAAAGAGGCCCAGTACATCAAAAGGTCGCGTCGTACTTGCATCCAGTATGGGACGGTTTTAGCAGCTCATCCTTGTCCGGCGCGATCTGATTTGCTTGAGCTGGCAAGCAGCTAAATCGACACCCCTGAGGATCCCCAGCTCGTACCTCGCATTGCACCTCCGAAGCTTCCAGGTCAATCCAGGTCTTGACACAAACTAGCGGAGCTATGCACTGTAGTCGACTGTCGGAGGTGCTGGTCTGTAACGGAGCGACGTTCATGGCCAGTCACGCACGAGAGCTTTGCTCAACAGATGGCGACTTTTACCCCAAACCATCAAGGACATTACCTCGGGCGACCGAAGGACGGCTGACAGCGGAGAGCATGAAAGAAACATGAACGGGCGGGCAAAGACTCCCATACCAACCCCAGTCGTCCGCCAATATTTACACAGTGTCTGCGGGGTCTCGCTCTGATCGTTTCGAGATGGTGAACGAGAACCGGCCGCCGCCGTGGGATTTGCCTCAAACCTGACCCATGAAGCTCCAATGGTGGTGAGAAAGTTTGATGGCGTATCACGTCCTTTCCACTTTATCAGCCGCTAATGCGCGCCAGTCACGGCTGCCATCCTTGCTCTGAGGGGACAGGACAAGAAGAGGAAGAGCAGAGCGAGGACAAAAGGCCCGCAGTAAGATCGCGATCTCTGTGCGTCTCCTCTCCTTTGCGGGTACGGATTGGTCTTGCTTCTCACACATTCGCCAACACCACCACTAAAACACCAACGCGTCCAAGATTGAAAATGGGGTGGGAGGGCACGCTGCATCCAAAGTGACGGGTGCGATAGTGGTGTTTTTAGCGTCGCTTCAGCTCCTGGCAGGATGGCACCACAAAAGCAA